CCTGTTGAAAAGGGAGTGAAGTTGTCTAAGAAGGATTGTCCAATAGAAGGACGAGAAAAGCCTAATGTTCCCTATGCACAAGTTATTGGTAGCTTAGTGTATGCAGTACGATGTACAATACCACATTTGAGCTATGTTGAATAGATATTAAAGTAATCCAGGCATAGCCAATTGAAAAACAGTTAAAAGAATTCTAAGGTATATTACGAGAACAAAGTATCTAAAATTATGTTTTCAAGCAGATAAGCTTGAAATTATAACATATTCAGATGAAAATTTTGTTGGGGATAAGGACGAAAGTAAGTCCACCTCAGAGCACGTTTTCCTCTTTAAAGGTGCAGTTGTTTCTTAGTCTAACAAGAAACAAAGGTATGTTGCTGAGTACACACAGCAAGCAAAGTACATTGCATGTAGCATTGCATGTACTTTCACCGTCTGAATAAAGCGCTTCATAGATGACTTGAAGCTGCAAATAATCGACGGACCGATCCAAATGTTTTGTGATAATCAAGCTGCAATTAAATTAATTCAAAGTGGAGTAAATAGTTCCAAAGGAAGACATATAGATGTCCAATATCACTACATTCAAGATGCAGTTGAGAAAAATGAAGTAACTGTTAGTTACTTGCCCTCATCAGATATGATCGCTGACCCATTGACAAAGGGTTTAAGCGTTGAACTACTTTTTAAGCACACTAGCTTAATGGGAATTAAAAATGTTTAAGTTAGTTAGTTTTCGTGAGTGACAAATCCGCATTAGCGTAAAAATCACCATGATGGACATTTGCTATGAGAGGCATATCCGCTAAAGCGTGAGAAAAACCTCATGAAAAGATATTGTCTTAAAGGTCATATTTTAAAGTGGGAGTGTGCCTATAACTTATTATTGTGTTTGACCATTATGGCCAAGTGGGAGATGTTGGCACGTATAACCATGAGGCCTCACGTGGCCTTGTGTATAATTGTGGGCTTCACTATTTTTATGGAGGAATCCCATGTTTTATTTAAGCTTATCCATTCATAAAATTGTTTTAAAGTAATATATAAATAATTAATTATTTTTTAAAGCCTTTTTTCCATCGTTCATATGGATGAGTATCCCTGAAATCAGGGAAGTAGTTTTCGCAGAGACCTGTTGGAGAAAAAGGAACGTTGGCCCATCTTTTTATAAATATGGGAAGACAGGGAGAGGAGAGGACACAAGAAAATTACAGAGACTCCCATTAACATTAAGGCTCGTCTTCTCTCACATAAAAATGGATTCCTAATTAAATTCGGGCCTTGCAATCACCAGCCTCATGACACACCCCTCTCTTATCTCAAGTTTTTGGTGCTCATTCGCGCTTCATCGATTTTACTAACATTGGTATCAGAGCGATCCAAGTTCTATCTTACTCATATTTTGGAAATTGTTTTTTATGCTGGTGCTCCTCTTATTTGCCATCTCTCTCACGCACTGCCTATTTGCGATTCATGCCCTGGTGAATTTTTTTTATCTTCATGACTAATGCACGATTTTTTTTCCCCTCCCATGTGAAGCTTCTATATGCAGTATGTAAGCTCATCGTTTGAATTCATGTCCTTTAATGCTTCAACTACACAACAAGCAAAATATTCAATATTGTTTTCCTTTAACTTTCAAAGGGAAAAGACTTTACAAAGGGAGAAGCAAATAATAAAGGTGCTTTGCATCATATAGAACCTAGTCGCTTTTTTTTTTTTTTTCCAAAAACTCAGTGGGAAAGATCCCCTTACCCTGATAGGAAGGAAGCCTGGGTAAAACAGCTAGCGTGTTAGGAGATATGTTCACAACGGCTAGATCCCGAGCTCCATTCCTAACATGGTAAACGGATCGTTCCCACAGAGCTATCAAGAAAAAAAGGAAAAAAAATGACAAGGTTCTATATGATGCAAAGCGCCTTTGTTATCTACTTCTCCCTTATAGAAGTCTTCTCCCTTTGAAAAGTCAAAGGAAAACAATATTGAATATTTTGCTTGTTGTGTAATTGAAACATTGAAGTACAGCGGTTCAAACGATGAGTTTACTTACTGCATATAGAAGCTTCAAATGGGAGGGGGGGAAAAATCGTGCATTAATCATGAAGATAAAAAAAATTCACCAAGGCATAAATCGTAAATAGACAGTGCGTGAGAGGGATGGCAAATAAGGGGAGCATAATATAAAAAACAATTTCCAAAATATAAGTAAGATAAAACCTGGATCGCTCTGATACCAATGTTAGTAAAATCGATGAAGTATGGATGAGCACCAAAAACCCGAGATAAAAGAGAGGTGTGTCGTGAGACTGGTGATCACAAAACCTGGATTTAATTAAGAATCCCTTTTTATGAGAGGGAAGATAAGCCTTCCTGTTTACAAGAGACTCTATAATTTTGTTGTGCCTTCTCTCCTCTCCCTATCTTCCCAAATTCATAGGAAAATGAACCAACGTTCCTTTTTCTCCAACTGGTCTCTGAGAAAACTACTTCCCTGATTTCAGGGATACTCATTCATATGAACGTTGGAAAAAAGGTTTTAAAAAATAATTGATTATTTATATATTACTTTAAAACAATTTTATGAATGGATAAGCTTAAATAAAACATGGGATTCCTCCCATAACAATAGTGAAACCCACAATTACACGCAAGGCCACATGAGGCCTCATGGTCACACGTGCCAACATCTCCCACTTGGCCACGATGGTCAAGCACAATAATAAGTTATAGGCACACTCCCACTTTAAAATATGACCTTTAAGACAATATCTTTTCATGAGGTTTTTCTCACGCTTTCGCAGATATGCCTCTCATAGCAAATGTCCATCATGAAGATTTTCACGCTAATGCGGATTTATCACTAACGAAAACCAACTCACTTAAACATTTTTAAGTCTCATTAAGCTAGTGTATTTAGAAAGTCGTTCAATGTTTAGACCCTTTGTCAATGGGTCAGCGATCATATCTGATGAGGGCATGTAACTAATAGTTACTTCATTTTTCTCAACTACATCCGAATGTAAAGATATTGAACATCTATATGTCTTCCTTTGGAACTATTTGTTCCACTTTGAATTAATTTAATTGTAGTTTAATTATCACAAAATATTTGGATCGGTCCATCGATTATTTGCAGCTTCAACTCATCTATGAAGTACTTTATCCAAACAGCGAAAGTACATGCAATGTACTCTATTTTCTGCGTGTACCTAACAATACACCCTTGTTTCTTGTTAGACCAAGAAACAACTGCACCTCCAAAGAGGAAAACATGCCCTAAGATGCACTTACTATCATCTTTATCCCCAACAAAATCTGCATCTGAATATCCTATAACTTCAAGCTTATTTGCTTGAAAACACAATTTTAGATGTTTTGTTCCCTTAATGTACCTTAAAATTCTTTTGATTGCTTTCTAATGGGCTATGCCCAGATTACTTTGATATCTACTTACAAAACCTTTAACATAGCTCAAATCTGGCCTTAGACATCGTACTACATACACTAAGCTACCAACAGCTTGTGCATAGTGAACATTAGGTTTTTCTTGTCCTTCTACTTGACAATCCTTCCTAGACAACTTCACTTCAATAGGAGTAGACAATGATTTACAATTTTTCATTTTAAATCTTTTAAGAACAGAGTCAAGATATCTCTCTTGGCTCAAGCATAACATTCTAGATTTTCTATCTCTAGTTATTTTTATGCGTAGGACATATGATGCTTCTCCCATATCTTTCATCTCAAACCAAAAAGAAAGCCATGACTTGGTCTTATCAATCATTTCCAAGTTATTTCCAGCTAATAGGATATCATCCACATATAATGAGAGTATTGTGAATTAACTCACTTTTCAAAACATACACACAATGGTCCAATCTATTTACTTCATATCCCCAGTTGTAGGATGGCATCATGAAATGTTAAGTACCATTGTCTTGAAGATTGTTTTAAATCAGATAAACACTTATTTAATTTTATGTACTTTATTTTCTTGGTCTTTAATTATGAAGCTGTCAGGTTGCTTCATGTAGATGGTTTCCTTTAGTTCACCATTCAAGAATGTTGTCTTTACATCCATTTGGTAAATTCTATTTTAAGCCAATATGGTCACATATATAAGAGATAAAGATCAACAATATACCAAGCAAATAAAAGTACAGCCAAATGATATATCTTGCTGAATTTTATTTGCAAGAGAAGTAAGATGTATCTTTCATATTAGTAGTATTGGGTGAATAAAATACAACAAAGAGATATATCTTGCCAAAGGATACAAAAATATAGTCAAAAGCTATACCATGTATTTGATTTGCTAAAACTACATAAGCTTATCTTCTCTCTTTTGAAAGGGAGTAAAGGAGATTTGATGGATAAGGGCAAATACGTGCCTGAGTTTTGTTTTTTTTTTTATTTGGTTCTCTTTGAAAAAAATCTAGACAAAGAGAGAAGACGATTGCAAAAAGAAAAAAGAACAAAAAAAAAAAGTGATGAGGTTATATATGATGCAAAGCACCTTTGTTATCCGCTTCTCCCTTTGAAAAGTCAAAGGAAAACAATATTGAGTATTTTGCTTCTAAACAAAAGCCTCTCACACCAACTTCTTTGCACCCCATTCTAAATCTGTTGCATGTGGAATGCCAATGCTTCTCAAACCTAAACATGTGAAAAGGGGAAGACATTTCACTCCCATTACAAGCTATCAACTTACAAAGTTAGGGAAACTTGATATGTTATATAATAACTATTACTTTTCATAATGTGGGTGTAAGTGCCTCAGTGGATCCAGCAATGGCCCATGGATCACAAAGTGTTGCCTATGAAACTACCTACCTCTTCTTTCGGGGTCTTCAGGACTAAAATGAACTGTCAGCTAGCAACATGGAGTAACATATATAGTCTCATTACGATTGTCAAATTCAGTCTAAAAGGAAATAGGTTTAATGAAAATCACAAAAGCTGCTCATATCAAGATTTTACACAGCAGTAGATTCTCATACCTTACTTCTTGATGCCGCCCCATATTGAGTGACAATTTCCTTGGATGCATTGCTGAACAAACCTGGATTCATCACTTTATCATCAAAAGTTCCTTTACCACTACCCTTTTTATTAGAACTCTTCTTCTTAGATTTTTGACAATTTCCCTTGCTGCTTGAATTTCCTCCATTAATATTCTCGTTATCACTAAAAGATGGCAGTAAATATACCCCATACGTATAACCCATAGAAGTGGAAACCACTATTTCTTTATCTTTCTTTAACTGCTCGGATTCAATACAAGCAAGGTCTAAAGCATTGTTAAGCATCCATTCTCCAGATATCTGTCCTTCTTCCAGTTCCATGTCCTCAATGACCTCCAAGCATTTGGAAGATCCACAATCCTCCAAAGTTTTTGAACTATTATTGCATTCAGCTTTGCAAGGTGAATCTACTGCAACTATCTCATTTCTTTCATTAGAAATGAGATCATGTCCCTGAACTGCGTCAGTCTTCAGTTCTTTAGAGAGAGATGGATCATGGAAATCTTTGAGATCATCTAAAAGTTTAGAAAGTCCATCTCTCTCTAAAAGAGTCCTAGAACCCGATGCATATAATTGCAGGGTAACATGACCATTTTGCTCAGGATGAGAACCAATAGGGGAAACAGGAACCTCTCCATCTTCAAGCTCCTCAACTAAAGTTGATGCAACAGGCCCATTTCTTTTCTCAAAAGTTTCTAATTTAGAACAATCTGTAATAATAGGCCTCGCACAAGAACCAGAAGAAATCAGAAGCTGTGTATCTTGAACCAGTTCATCATCACTCTGCCTAATCAAATTCCCATTGGGGCAATGCTCCAGGCCTCCTCCAGACAAACCAACTACATTATTCTGCAAAATCGAACTCCCATTAGGGCATTGTCCCACCCCTTCCAGCAAATCAATGGCACAAAAATCGCCATTTGATCCAAAAACTGTGTCATCGAGATCATCAGTAGATCCCAATCCTCTCTCAAGATTCAAAGAATTTTCAGGTTCATGAAATTGCTCCGAAGAAGTACTCTTCAAATGATCAGAACTAATGGTGAGAGAATCAGAAGCCTTACCGTGGTTCTCAGTTCCAGGAATGAGAAGATGAGAGGAACTAGGGTTCGCAGAAGGGGAGGAGGTTTTCTTAGCGGGAGGTGTAGAGAGAGGAGAGTTGGGGAAGAGAGAGAAAATCTTAGAGAGAGATTGGAGAGTTGAGCTATTGAGATGGCGAAGCCAGCTGCGTGGAGAGGCGAGGAGGGAGCGTAATTTCTCATCTTCATTCATGGCAGCCATGACAGAAGCGCTTCGCGCGTTTCGGACTTTCCCACACTCGGAAGTTTTTGAAAATTAAGAAACAGAAAACAAACCTAGTTGAAAATTCCAACATGGACTAACATAAATGGTTTCATGCGGGCTGGACCCGCATGGCTACATATACGGTCCAAAAAGTGTAAAGCATCCATCTTGAAAATAGATGCAGGCAGATGTTCCATCTAAAAACAATATAAATTAATGCTCCAAATGTTTTTTTATCAGAAATATTATTTCTTCTTTTTAAAATTTACTTATTTTGTCATATTCATGATCTCCATGTTAGTGATTACATGTCTTAAAAAAAATAAGTCCAAAAATCTATCTCGAAAATAGATTTATTAAATAGGCCCAATTTCTACCTATCCAGGCTTGGTCGCATAAAAACCGGGTCCTTATCAAAGCTAGAGCATCTTCTTGTGCAGTTCCTCTAATCTCTCCAATAAGGACAATACTTGAAATAGAAATACAACTATTTAAAGAACAATTGCATTAGAAATTAGTGTATCATACTAATTGAATTGTGATTAGAACCTGGTTTCTATGTAGCCAAGCCCACATATGTAGAAATGCGGGCCTCTTAATAAATCTATATTTGAGATAGATTTTAAGAATTAATTTTGAAGTATATGTAATCTCTAACATAGAGATCATGAATATAAAAAAATAAATAAATTTCAAAAACTATAAATAATAATTCTAGTAATAAAACATTTGAACCGTTACTTTCCATTGTTTTTAAATGGAACACCTACTTGTAACCATCTTTAATATGGATGCTTTACAATTTCTAGACCGCATATGTAGAAATGCAGTCCACATTAGGCGTAGAACTCCAACCACTAGGCTACATGGGTTCACATTTATTTTGCCTATATCCAATAAACCATCAATAAGAAATCATGTTTCCATCCAAAACACAGTATGTAGTGGAAAAGGAAAAAGGAAAAATATCTTCATAAACTCTATTTTTAAGTTCCATTTCTCCATAGACCAAAGATTCAAGACCTATTTTGATCCGTAGAGATTTCATCTATTATATTTTCTTCAAACTCCTAGACCAACTTTATTTATTTTTGCCCCGACAAATTTTAAAAATGCATCCTTTCTAAACCCCCTCTCCTTTCATGTTTTGCAATATATCTACCTGGAAATAGGGAGAGAAAATGGTATTTGGTGGTGGAGGAAAGGAAGACTCGAGTATAATATTACTGTGGCTGCTTTTTTTAGGCTAATTTTAACTGATGTGAGCCCGTATTGCGTACATTTTCATCAATTTGTCTCTTTGAGGAAAAACTGATCTCTCAATTGTGATGGTATTGGTCATTAAGACTTGCCTCTCACATAAACGTTTTAGTTGGTAATTGGGTGTATTTTTTAACATTGTGTATTGGCTTTTATCTTGGTCGTTCTTCTCTAGAGACTAGTTGAGGCGTTTGTGTTGGCGTCGCTCTTCTCCACAAACCAATTTGAAGCTCATTTTCTCAAGCTTCATTTAAACTCAACCAACAAAAGAAACTTAAACATTATCTTATCATTAGGTAAACTTTTTTCCTTCTTTTTTTCTTTTGTCTACTTTTATAGTCTCCATGCAATTTCATGCAAGAATTGAAAGTTTTGTTTTTCTGTAAATTTTTAGAATATTTTTTGTGAGTAATCTGATGTAGCACTTACTGATATTGTTATCTCGCATAACCTTGTGGCTAATTATAAGAGAACTATAACGTGTTAAGGTCTAAAATGGGTTTTTTTTATGTTTATTTGATGTTGCCCTTACCAAAACGTGTCATGGTTGGTTTTTTCTCTCTATTTACAATTTGTTCGTTAACTCATGACTACAAATCTTTAAGTAATTCTTTCATTGAACTTGCAATGTTTAGAGGATACTAACATAAACTTAATGCCTATTAGTTAATTAAATCAAACTAATCATTTTATCTATTTTTTTATTTTCTTATTATTTATATCTAGAAAATTTTATGATTTTTCATTAGTAGTGCTTTTAATCACGTACAAAGCACCTTTTTTTTCTTTTTTCTTTTTCAGGAATGGTGGTGGTACCCCCACACCTAGTAACCACATTGTGGTTTGCATTCCTATGGCTAATGCCACCCCGCTAATACCTTCAAAAATTTGACTCTTAGTCAATTTAAAAAAAACCGGTAGGGTTTTCTGCCTTCTCCACTTAATTACCAAAAAAACTAAGTACATGATTTTTACTAGTATATTATAATTTAATATTCCAAATCCAAAAAAAAACTTAAAATCCTAAAAATAAAATAAAATTATACATCTTTTAAAATTAAATAAAAAAATTTAAAAAAAAATGGCCCTCCATTGCTGCCCCTAAACAGAGGAGTTGGAAAGTTACCATGGCGCTTGCCATTTATTTTCTTGTGTTGAGAGGAATGAGTGTTGTAAAGTGTTGGAAGAATTGGGTCAGGAGCAAATATTGTCGGAATTTGTATCCTTTCAGTTCATGTTACTAAACTTGTTGGGGAATGCTTGGAAAATCAAGTGGAAAAGAAGGCCACGGGTGACGGTTCAACACGTAGATAGATGATGTTTACGTCTAGCCTTGAATGAAACTATTGTCGTGCTTTATGCTTCTTCTGTTTATTTTTTAAAATTTCTACTGCCATCGGACTTCGTCCTCCCCATTTGGAAGAAAAAAAATAATTTTATTAAATTTTCGATCATATATCATACTTTATAATTCTCCCACATGAGAGGACATTATTCCAAAGTTCAACAACACCACCCTCAACAATTCATGATTATATGGGACATTATGGGTCGTTTAGGTCCTTGGATATGCAGATCCCGGATATGTCACAAAACTAGATATACAAATTCTAGCATAGGTAAAACCTAGTTTTAATATCAATGTTGTTTGGTTAGCTTCTAGAAATATCGAATATATGACAATTCCCCGTTTGCCTCTACTAAGTTGAAAACTAGGTCTTGGAATTAGGTCTTGGAAATTTGTTGCTAAACCAGTTTAGCCATTCATTCCATTGATAATTCCATAGTAGTATATGTTGGGTTTATGTGGCCTTTAAAGGCCTTATGAGAGCTTGTATGAGATTTTATATAGTGGAACATAAACTCAGTGGGAGTGTAGTCCTTTTGTAGACCATACTAGACAAATGTTATTGCTAATACTCGGATTAGGCTCAACGAGGTAGGGCAACCGAGGTTTGGAAAAACCCAAGAAACTTGGGTATAGGGATCTACCGAGAAGAGTTTAGTGGGTTATCCCTTGATGCGGTTGGAGTGCACCCAGATGAGAGCCAAGGGACTGTGTGGCCCTTACGTGTGATGAATAGGCTTTAGAGACAGGGCTAAAACCTCATCGTTATATCATCACACGACATATACATAGATAGTCGTTTTGAGATTCACCAATGAAGGTGAAGCGTGTACTTGTGCGAGAGATTACCCCTATGCACCATAAAGTCATGGTTGCATCATGGTCTAGAAGACCATGATTTTTGTTTTTAGAGTAGAATATTAAATCCATAAACTAGGATTGCGTCCCCTAGTCTATTGGTTGACTTTGGTAGTCCAATCATAAACTCTTGCAATAGACTGTGGGTCATGGGAATTGCTGGGTCAGTTTGAGAAAGCTATGCGAATCGTGATTCGCAGTTGAAGGTGGAGTGCTCCCATGTATTGATAATTTCCTAGATCTAACGGATCCGATTCCCATCAAAATTAATTAATTTTATGTTATATAATTTTTAGAATGTTTATTTGAATTTTTGTGAATCTTTTGATATTTTATTTTTATCATTTGAATTTATAAATTAAGAAATATTAATTTTTCAATGTTTTAAATAAAATATAACATTCAAAAATTCTAAATATGAAATAAAATATTTTCTAAAAGTATTTGGGACCTCCATAACATATGGGGCCCAAAATTTAAAAAGATGTGGATTAGGCGGGGCCCACACGTGGCCACCAAAAGGGTGGCACGCCCCCACCCATCCACGTAACATTCTTGAGAAGAATGTTTATCCTCTTAGTTGGCTTATCCTTTTAGGTATAACCAACTTATATGATAAAGTTGAATATTTGAGATATTTACTAACTAATTCTTTGAATCAAGATTGATTGATCAAATAAAGAAGATATGATATATTAAAATATAAGCTTTTTTTATTTGACGGGAATAGATTTAGGTGTTGGGTTTATGTGGCCTTTAAAGGCCTTATGAGGGCTTGTAAAATGAAATGATATAGTGGAACATGAACTCAGTGGGAGTGTGGTCCCTTGTGGATCATACTAAGCAAACAATGGTTTGCTGATACCGATCTGTGCTTAACTATCTAGGCCAGTCGGTTGGGAAAAACCCATGTTACCTGGGCATGAAGAACAAACCGATGAGGGTTTATGGGTTAGCCCTTGATGAGGTCGAAAAATATGCCAGGATGAATGAGCCGAGGGACTGTGTGACCCTTATGTGTGATGGTAGCCTACTGAGACGGGGGCCAAAACCTAATCCATGTTCCATCACACGGCATGCATATTGATAGATCGTTCGGGAAAACCAGATATCCACCTTTAAGTGAAGCGTATGCATGTGCGAGAGATACCCCTATGCGCCATAGAGCTGTGGTCGCATCAGGTAGTGGTGACCTTGACTCGTCTCTAGGGGTGGACCTGTAATCCACATACCGGGATTGCGACCCTTCGATTCATCGATCTGACTTTGGTGACCCGCTAATGAGCCATTACTTGGACTGTGGGTCAAGGAAAGCACTAGATCAGTTCGATAAAATTAGTGTAGTCTGTAGTCCACAATTGAAGATGAAGTACCCCGTTATTATAGATTGGATTCTTAAAACCATATGGATCATTTTCCTATCATAATTAATTGTATTCATTTTATTATTAAAATGATTTTAGTTTTATTATTTGAATTTTTTATGAATCTCTCATTATTTTATTTGTGATTTTTGAACTTATAAAAATACAGTTATTGTTCTTACAAAGTCATAAAAATTCAAATATATATTTTAAACTG